CCTCAGCAGTTTTCTTTTGTTGGAATCAAGATCCAACTAAAGCAGACAGCAATTGGTTGATTCTTTTTAAAAGCTTTCTTTTATTAATCTATAGGTTTTCCCTTTCATTCTTTTTTTTTTTCAGTTTGTAATTTTTTATTGATGAGACAAGATGGATGTTTTGGTTGCGTAGAGCTTCCCACAGCCTGGAATTGGCTAATTAATAATTTAGCACCTGGCTCTGTTTCTGTTACTTCCTGTACATGGTGCTCGGGCCTCGAGGCTCCGTCAGATTCCGCTTTGAAGTTTCTGGAGCGCTTCACAGGTAGTGTGTTTCTCTGTCAGGAGGCACGTGGCGTCTGCCGCGCTCTCCCTGTGATGTGCCCGCCCTTTGATGTCCAAGCTTAGATCAATTAGCACATCAGGAGCCGGAGCTGGTGCTATTCTCGTTCTGTCAGTGTTCAAACATCTATTAGCTGGAATCGTTCTGCGTGGAGAAACAGCCCCTCATTTACGATTTGGTATAAAATCCACGGAAGGCAGGATGGGGAGACTCCACATTTTCCCTTTAATTCTTTTCCAGTAATGACTTGGTTTCCCAGCACCTTACAAAGATGACTGATTAGGTGCCGTGTCTTGTATGAGTAATTTTGAACTCATCGATTTGAACACATGCGATGTGTCCTAATATACTGCAGTTACTCCTCCTTTTGTTGCTCCAATGATCTTATGCCAGTAGGAGCCTGTTCACACCGACCCCGAGGACGGTTGGCAGGCCTGGCCATCTTCCATCGCTTCCTGCTCTTTGGAACGACCAGATATTTGACATCAGTGTACATTCCTTACCCAGCTCTGGGGTCAGTCATTTCTCCAAGGAGTTGGAGTTCCTTTTAGTGGAAAATGGTATCAGAGGTCAAAATCTGTGTACTAGGGTTAAGTGACTCTTGAATAGACACGTATGCAGGCATCACCTTGGAAAAGGGGGTTGATATTGTTGAAAACATGTTAGGTGTTGGATTTAGGAAGGCGTTATTCACCCCGTCCGACTGGACACGCTTTTATACTTCTGGAAAGTGTGCTGACAGAGCAGCTGTGCGGATGCCTTTCATAGGCTGCGCCCCGGCCTGTTTCTCTCCTCACTGTGTCGTCTTTATTTCTGGTCACACAGGCAGGATGAGCGTACGGCTTTGTGCTCTAGTCCAGGAAGCCATAGCTCAGGGAGACTGAGTCACTTGCTCAAGGTCAAACAGCCGATAATCCATAAAGCTAAGATATGAAATGAGCCTTCTTAATAATAAAACCGCCTTTCCCATGTGGACTTCATGCTAAATGACATGAGAGAGGAATTTGGAGCTTAGTCTAACAAACGAGTTGCATGCTCTCTTTACGTGGGTCGTGGAATTTAATTAGAAACAAACGGTGACTCTCGGATGACCTGGCAGCATCTGCACAAGCATCCCCAATAATACACCGTCCCTAAGGTCCCTCCCTGGAGGGATAAGTGCACAGTCTCAGCAGGACCACTTTGAAAGGATCGGCCGCCACATGCATGTGTGTGGGTCTGTGTGTACCGTGGACTCACACGTGGCAGAAGCCGTGAGAAACAGGGGAGGGGGCAGCGACTTCCGCCAGACAGGCCCCCGGCGGGGTCCTGAGTCCGCCGCCCTCCCTGCCTGCCTGACCTGCTTGGCTCCGGGCCCGGAGAATCCCCTCCTTTCTTCGCGCTCAGCTCTGCACCCTCAATGATGCTCGTTCCGTTTTCTCAGCCAGTCCTGGGGCGTGTGTAAAGGGCGGGCACTCGGGGCGTCTGTTGGTCATTCTGCCAGAAACCTCTGCGTTTGTGTGAAAACTTTTCTCTCTGTTGGGGACATGGAGGGAAGCTCTCGTGGGCTCTGCTACAGGGAAACACAGGGTGGACCGAGAGCAGGAGGTGGGACTGAGCCCGCCTGGCAGGTGACCCGGTGTGGCTGGGCAGGTCCCTTGTCCCCTCTGGGCCCTAGTTGGACCATCAGTGACAAGGAAGTGGAATTATAGATGATTCCCTCATGCTCTAAGATTTTAATTTTTTTTTTTACTACTAAGTTGATCTCTGTTAGTTTTGTTCCCTAACTAGACTTTATTTTCTTTTTCTTATTATTTTTTTTAGTTTTATTTATTTATTTATTTATATTGTGAGTTTCAAGTGTACAGAACAATGCAATAGTCATCCTTTTTACCCTTCGCACAGAAACAATCCCCATCTACTGCCCTCCCACCCCCAATATCATACTTACTCTCTAAGATTTTAATTTTGCTGGTGCTGTTTGCTGGCGCTGCTGTGTTCCGTGCCTGTGCTGAGTCCTGGAGCGACTGCCCAGGGAGCTCGTGCCCTGTCCCATGCAGCGTGCAGTCCATTCCGTAGAGAGGACAGGTGGCTGAGACGTAAGGGCCGCACCCAGCATTGTATCCTAGACAAGGTGCACAGAGGGGCCAGGCGACCACCTCTGACAAGCGTCCTGGGAGAAGCCAGGGAAAGCTTTTCAAGGGTGGTGACTTCTCCGCTGAGAACCAAGTGTGACAAGAATGTGTGCAGGGAGGAGGCAGGGAAGGGAGACTTCTCCCCGCAGGCCCTGAACCTGTGATCAAATGCCATGGTCCACGAGCACATCTGGAATGCAGTATCAAGAAGCCAGATTCAAGGCTGGACACACTTGTAGGAATGCAGTCTCGTGTGCGCGTGTGCGTGCGTGCGTGCGTGCATGTGTGTGTGCGTGCGTGCGTGTGTGTGTGCGTGTGTGTGTGTGTGTGTGTGTGTGCACGCCCCCCTGTAGGAGCGGCGAGGGGCACTTTTGCAGCATCAGCCAAGCAGACGCACCGGGGAGCCTGGCCCTGCGTGTGCCCCGCAGCCCGGCCTGAGCAGAAGGGGGTGCAGCACAAGGATGCGGGGCTGCTGGTTCCCGCCTCACACCAGAGCTGGACAGACTAGGGATAGACTGAGGTGCCAGCAGCCAAGGGGACGCCACCAGGGTGGTGCCAGTTCCAGGGCAGATGGAGAAGGTTCCAGGAGTTTCCATGGGTAACGGTAGCGGGTGGGTGGTGAGAAGTGTGACAGTCACGTAAGGATGGGAGGAAGTTAGCTACTCTTTTTAGGACAACCTGGCCTAGAAAGAAACACCTCAGTGTGTTTAGGTGAACGTTTCATTCCTACTCGGCTGACTTCTGTTTGTTTCTTCCTCAGGGCCCCTCTGGATCACCAGGAGACAAAGGACCCCCGGTACAGTGTGGCTGAACGAAAGGGCTGGCTTTGGATGTGATACGTTCTTTTCTAATCAAAGCAATTTTAAACTAGAGGGGCCAGGAACTAAAATAGCTTCAGAAAACCACCACTGTTAGAGATTGCAGACTCGCCCACATATGAGCATTGACCTGTGGGGTGCTCGAGTAAGACAAGGATGGGGGGCGGCCACCCAGTCCAGTATGTGGGGGGGCTGTACTCGCGGAGGCTGCCACTGGCTTGGCTTGGTGGCATTTCTGCACCACAGAGGTGCACAGCCATGCTTTAGTGAATTTATCAAATTGCCAGAAGTACTAAGTTTGACTCCTGGCTCCATCACCCCCAACCACACAGCCACGAGCAGATGAGGGACCTCTCTTCCCTGGAAGGTAGACAAGGTGAACGTAATGCACGTAAGGGCACAGGAGCGCTCTCAGTAAGCGTGTTCTTAGGACGAGCCAGCAGCCACTGAGGATAAATATATGCACATATGTATCAGGAAAATGTGAGTTTCTGTGAGTTCTCCCCATGCGGGAGGAGATGCAGCTATGATGATGCTGTACCTTGCGCCATTCTGCACGTGTTAGATTCTGCCCACTCATGTGATTCCTGAACTAAGGAGAGAGGTTTTAGACCCGTTTTCTATGGGTGAGAAATATAAGGCTCAGAGCGGTTAATCCATAGGCGTGAGATTTCAGAAGTGACTGTAGAGGCCAAGTAGGCAGGACTCCTAGTGGAGGGGTGGGTGTTAGAGCCCAGAAGAGGCCGGGGGAGCCCCTGAGCAGCCATGTGTCACAGCTCCGGCACCTGCCAAGACACACAGCTGTCCCCCACCTGCAGCTCTAGTTAAGGAAAATCCCTCCCGGGAGTGAGAGCCGTTTGTGCCCAATTCCCGATATTGTCCAGAGCTTTTTAACCAATTGGAAGTGATTTGCTTCCAAGGAGAATCAGCTCTTGCCAGGGAATTGGGGTGGAGGGGACTCTTGTTTTCCTTACACTGTTGTGGGGTCTCTTCTCTTCTTTTTCCTCAGGGATCTCGAGGCTTACCTGGGTTCCCCGGCCCCCAGGGACCAGCTGGCCAGGATGTAAGTAAAGAGGGACTGGATGGGCTCAGCTGAGGTTCCTGGAGACCCCTCAGGAGCCCACCCTCCCCCTTCTCCCGGCCTCCCTGACCAGGAGACCCCCGGAGGAGCCGTCGTTGTCCACTGCGCCTGCCCCTATCCCGTGAACATTATAAGATGTTTGCTCTTTGGGGCATTGCGGCCTGTTGTTTTTATTGTCTACTTTCACGTCTTATGCTTTGGCATTGCGCTCTCTGGACCTTGTAAGCGCCCGGCTATCCCATAGACAGCCTTTACTTGTCGCTCGGCTGTCTCACATGGCTAGCCAGTCCATGCTGCTCAGGTCAGCTCCAGCGTCTCCGTGGCCTAGTTCCTAACCCTGGAACAGCGTTCTCCTTTCAAGGAGACCCCACAGGCTTCTCGGGTGCTCCCTGAGGATGCATCCCTTCCCACTCGAATCTCCACAAGCTGGCTTTTGCTCAGATAGACCTGAGCTCTGAGAAGATAGGGACCGAATGTCTTAAGCATCCCTGGGTCCTGCTGCCCAGCAGCCTGCCAGGTGCATGGAAGCTACTGTGTGTGCACTCACTGACCCGATGGTCAGAGGACAACCACGAGTGCTTCCGGAGCCACGGCGTCGAGCACCGTAGCAGTAGCGTTTACTGTCAGATGTCTACCTCACTAGACACCGGACGATGAGTTACCCGTCCCTCCCTTTCCTTGGGCTCCATTTCACAGGAGGAAGTTACCCTCTACCTTCTGCCTCCACGCATTCAAATGTACCTGCACCCCTCTCGGCGTTATATTCTTATGGCCAGTCCAGTAGAAAGGCCCTCCTTTTCAGAGCTGGCCCTTCCACCTGTGTTTGGAAAAGGTGGATGGGAGTTTAAGACAGGACTCTGTGTGTGTGTGTGTGTGTGTGTGTGTGTGTGTGTGTTGTTTGCAGTTTTGTGTTTTGGATAGGAATTATAGGAGGGGTAGCTTACTGTTCTAAACATTTCCCAGGAAACTTCATTTCCTGGGAGGCCTTCCGTAGTCAACCGAGATCAGAAACCATGAATTTTTTCTGGTGCCAGTCTTCACGGTTCGCTGATTTTTTTCTCCCTATGAGTTACACTTGTCAGGTGCAGGGGCCGGGGGAGGCCGGGAGAGTGGATCAGGATTATGCGCGGAGCGCAGCTAATGTTTTCTTCCTTTCTTCTCTTAGGGAGTGCCAGGAAACCCAGGAGAAAGAGGGCCCCCTGGCAAGCCGGTATGTCATCTAACTGTGCTGGGTGGACACTGACTCACAGTCAGGGCTCCCGCGAGAATAAAATGCAGCTCAGGTGGTTCAAGAGACTTTTAGAAAAGGGGCTTTTTATAAAGCTGTGGGCAGAGGTGCTGTAATGCCCAGAGAGAAACCACAGCAGGCAGCCGATACCACCGTTATGGCTATTTTGAGCCACGTGAGAGTGACAGTGCTGGGGAGGGGACTGAAAGGAGCTGTAGTTGGAGGTTCAAAGCCACTGCCAGAGAGCTTGGTCCAAGGCAGGGAGGAAGCAGTGACCCCCTTCAGTTTCCTGATGGTGCCTCTCATTAGTGCAACTCAATCACAGGCCCCCAGGTAAGTGAGCCCCATGTTAGGTTCCCAGGGGTGCAGCCTCTGGGCGTATGGAGCAGGACAGAGAAGGATAAAAAGTAGATCTGGGATGAGCAATTGGACGGTGGCAGGCAGCATACGTTGCAAATTCGCAGCTGGCCCCTTTCCTGCCCTTTGTTCAATAGTATCAACACCGCGAAGGTGCCTGCTTTTCACAGCAGCACACACTGTCTTTCCTCTCACACAGTGGGGACGCCAGGAGCTGTCCACGTTGAGCAGGAGTGGGCAGCGCTGAGATGGGGGCCCTGGAGGTGTGGCCGCACGTCCAGCCCAGGGTTCCTGCAATTCCCCTTCTGTGCAGCATATTCACGGTACAGGAAGCCCCCTGATAAGTTACCAGTGCCAGAGGAGCCCAAAACGTGTAGCCAAGTAACCAGCCATGGGCGGGCCCCCCAGGGCGGGAACAGTGAAGCTGAGCAGGTCTGGGTGAGCATGGAGGCAGCTGCATGGATGTGGGGTACTCGAGTGCATTGCAGGACGGTACCTAAGATGGAAGAGACGGTCATGGTGAGGTGAGGACGGGGGGGCCTCTCAGGCCTCAAGACTGACACCATGGAGTCTGGTGTCAGAAGCCAGTATGCCCTCCGGGCAGAACCCTCACCTCAAGATGGGTCTGAGATGCCACCTGTCTCCTGCAAGCCTGGCCTGCTCCCAGTTTCAGACAAGGACCCGAGGCACAGAGGCCCCTGTGGGCTTGAACAGCGTCCCTTTCTAGTCAGGCTGCTAGGCACAGCAGAGACCCGGACAGTCTCCAGCCCTCCCAGAGGTCAGGCTGGTCCACAGCCCGAGGCCCCCACTATGAATCAGTGTTAGCACAGGCTCTGCGTGGCCGAGCTCAGGTAAACAAAGACACGTAGCAGGTGGGGCTGTGTAGGGTTTAGAGGTCATCCCTCAGGAGCTGGCGAGGGCCAGAGCTTTCTCTGCAATGTGCAGGGTTTGGACAAGCCATGCCTGCTGAAGTTCATTATTGCTGCACCATTGTCATCTCTCGGTGGGTGGACAGTGGGATCTGGAGTGGTTTTCCAGTGCTGTGCCCATCTAGAGTTGGGTCCTTTAATAGGAGAGCCTCTTTGGGGGGCGGGGCAGATTCTTGTGCAAGTGATAGATTAAGGGAGCAAATCAGGTGACGCCTGCAAGGACTGCGGGAAGCAAGACATGGCAGGGGACGGGCCAGTCAAAGCTATGAGCTCAACTGGAATCCAGCCTCGGCCTGATCCCACGGCAGCTCTGGAGTGTGGGTGGCCCCTCAGAGCGGTGCCATCTTCAATCAGGGGCGTTCTTCATCACCTCCATACCTGTCAGCCACTGGCCTTGCAACGTCCCTGGCATTTCCAGCCAGTGTTGGTGGCAGCTGGTGGATGGGCCCACCAACATGTAAGAAGGGTCTCAGGCTGGGTCTTGTACACCCTCTGCCCTTCCCACTGTTGGTTCCGTTATCTCTTCCCACCTGACAACAACCCACTGAGGAAGGCATGGTGGTCTCTTACATGCTCTGCGTCCACCTTTGGAAGACCACTGCCCCATACAGGCCCTGTTCTGTATCTCCTTGAGACCCATCTTGTGATGTTTGCAGAAATGGGTCAGAGCACAGTTGTTAATTAAATTACCCCCAAGGCCACACTGTACCTAGATGGAAAACTCACTCCTTGTCGTCTCTCCCTTTGTAATGAACGCCCAGCCATGTTGTATAATATAGCTCACTCTAATTATACAAAGAGCTCAAACGACAGCATAAAAATATCCCAAAGAATACAACGCCAGCAGCAGGAAAATGTCCCGATTTGAAAAATATGAATCCTCCACTGTTATTAACTTCGCAGGGAAAAATGTAAGTCTTCAAAACAAAGCCCCTTTCCCCCTTTTAAATGAAAGTTTCAGCAAGATAATATTGCCAAGGCTGGCCACCTTCCAGCAGGTCTCCAGATAACTGGGGAAGGTTTCGGCTTTGTCTTGAGCAGCTGTAACCTATGCTGGCTGTTGCCTCAGCACCTCCAAATCTGAGCCAGTCCAACCCCAGTCTCCCTCAGATGGCCTCCTCTTGCAGGAGCCCAGAGGGCTGACCAGATACTTGAACATACACAGAAAACAGCACAGACCAATCCCCAGCCACTACCAAGGTCATGTTCTCCTATGCCAACGCTTATGATGCCACTGTCACATGGTTTCCTTAGCCACAGGATGTGGCAGAAACCCCATGGGGTCAGGATAAGAGGAGTACCCAGGACAATTGTCCTGGCTTCAGCCTCCCTAAGATGTAAGACTGGATTCATAATTCGTAAACCGAAACTCAAACTCCACTGGAAGAAATCAGCCACCACGAGTTCAACTGCGGCCACAGGCTTCCCATATTCTAGCGGGAAAGCTGCCATCTTCCTTCTGGAGACTGGATTCTCTGGCTCTCGTTTTCCACCACGCCAACCTCCAATCCTTACCTAAGACCGCCTTCTTCCCTGGAGTGCAGCCTTTCGCTTGCATTTTCCTTCCCAGCCTTGTGTTTCGTGTCGCTAATGTGAACCCAGCCCGCGCCCCATCTAGGGCTCCTGGTTGGCCTCAATCACACAATTCATGTTCCCATTCACGTTGGGTCTGAAGGTGATGCAAACTCCTTCGTTCCTCCAGAGGCTTTGTAATGCCTCCTGATTTCTAAAATCTCCTTCCTGGAGTCAGAGACTTTCAACCCATAATGACAGATGAGGTTTTTTATTTTTTATTTTTTTATTGTTCGTTTCAGATGAGGTTTTAAGGTGCTGTTCCACCTGGGAGCTAAAGAAATTGCTTTCCATTCACACCAGGTTGTGAATGACTGATAGCAAACAGCTGTTACCCATCTGGGACGCCCATGTCGGTCCAGCCTTTGCGTCTACAGAACCCACGTGACCCACAAGGGTTTGATGGGAGTGGGAGGAGGAACCACCAGGAGGAGAGAAGAAGCCAGCAGAAGGACACTGGGGACCGGAGAGGCCGGCGTCAGTCAGCTGGGCTGGGCTGGGCAGCCTGGGTGGTCCCTGCCTCGGAAGGGTCTTCTCTGTGGCTCTCAGGCTATGGGCTGTTTGCCTCCTGTGCCCCCACAGATGTGTTACGATTACAGATTACCTTTTGGAGGCCTTTCACAGCAGATGCATGGGATATGCTGTCTGTATGCGTGTATGTGTGTCTGCATTCATCTATTTTTACTTCGGCAGGGCCCCTCTTCGAGGCTGTCTCCAGAGGACATACATCTCTTGGTTAAGGTAAAATCATGAAATCAATGTGCATGTGTTTTGAAAATGGTGATGGGGGGATTGAAAAGCTCAATAAGTTTGTGTTGTTTTTTTTTTGTCTGAACAACTAACTGCATTATAGTATTAACAGTCACAGCACTGTTTGTGGAGAGCTCACTGCCCAGCAGTGCACTAGATCTGCTGTTCAATATGGCAGCCACTGGCCACACGGATCAATTTAAGTTCATTCAAATGAAATGCAATTCAAATTTCAGGTCCTTGGTCACAGTAGCCGCACTCCAAGTTCTTAATAGCCCTATGCTGCTCGTGGTTTCTTATTGGACAGCTCAGATACAGTGCATTTTCATTATCACAAAGTTTTCCGGAGCGGCGCTGTGCTCGATGTGGTCTCTGATTTGATGTTCACAATTACCCTGTGAGGCTGGTTCTGTTTTTGTTTTCATTTTGCACGTAAGGAACCTGAGACATGGTGGGAGTCAGTGACTCTCTGGGCGTACAACCACTCCTCACTGAGCCCAGAGACGACCTTTAACCCCACACAGGACTGCCCCCTCATGTTCTGGAAAGAGTCAGACAGGTGCGTGTGGGTCCTGCTGGTCCCAGAACCAGATCCCAGGTGCAGGCAGGTGGAGGCAGCTGCAGGCCCTTGAGCCAGCTGAGCCCAGGTCTGGATGCAGATGGAGCTGGTTTTCAGAGCCGTGCGCACTCTCTCCGTGAGGGCCAGGCCCCGCCACGCTGAGCATCACTCTGCTGACATAGGGCTGTGGATGCTGGATGCCCAGGTGTCTGTCCGGAAACCTCAGGTCTCACGTGGCCGAGAGCAGGGGAGGGCTGTGAGCAACAGGGAGACACGGGGTAGGAGTTCCGTTTCTGAAAGAAGGGCCTCGCAGCGGCGAGTGTGGGGGGCCCTTCGCTGCCTCCACTTAAACCCTTTGTCTTCACTTTGGGGGAAGCTTGGCGTTGCCTTCTGGGTGGTCAGCCCCTTCCTCACTTCCTCCGTGACGGCAACAGGTGGGCAATGTCAGGAAACACCTAGCTCATGTATGACAGCAAGCGGGGGAAACGGGAGAGAAAGGCTGCCCGGAGGCCGGGGACGCTTCACCTCTCTACACGGGGAGATTCCTTGATGGAAAAAGATACATTTTATTAAAAAATGAGTAGTCCTGGCACAGCCTTCCCCTGATTTTTATTGACAAGACAGAGTTTTCTCCACAGTCAAGGCTATGGCAAGAAATCATTATCTATTGATTTGGCCGCTTGTTTGCACAGGCTTTTATTAGCCTGGACCATTTTTCATAAAGTGCGCCACTCTGGAAGGAATGGGGTTTGCGTCAGCCCCAGGATTTCAGCCCCGAGATGCCCCAATCTTTATGCCAATAATAACAGGGGTGCGTTTGGTGAGGGTTAAGCAGCAGGCTCCACGGCTGCAGCATTGAGACAGACCCTGTTTAGTGAAATCAATATTTCTTAACTGCGGAAGCACGCAGCCATGTTCAGCGAGGAACCCGCAGGGCATGTGAGCACCCACATTCAGGGTGCTCCAGAAACCCCTGGTCCCACGGAGCTGTGCTGTGGCCTGGAAACCCTGCAGGCAAGAGACTGGGCCACATGCGTTTGCCCAGGTCTGCAGAGCTGGCTGTCACAGCTCCCTTCCGTAGTCAGCCGCTGCCATCTTGATGATGTAGATTGAAGCTGGTTGGTTTGGCCCAGGTGGCTGGGGGCAGGGCTGTCCTTTGATGAGAAGACATCTTTTACTGCAGAATATTTACTACTGCCAGAGAATGTTACAATGTCACAGAGCTCATTCCGAGAGTTGGAAAACTGCCTGGGTAGAAAGTTCACCTTCCGAAAGCCCCTGTTAAATGGACTCTCACTGTTGGATCTGTGTCCAGGAAGGCCATCGCCAGGATGTTTCCATTAGGTGATCCCCTTGGATACATAGTATTTACTCCGATCCTTGCAAACAACCCTGGGAGCGGGTACTAGTACTGCAACCTTCTGCAGAGCACAGGCGGGCAAGCCACCTGTGGAAGGTAACAGCACAGAGCCGAGACTCAGACCCAGCATGTCCAACTCCAAATGCTTTGCTTAACCCCTGCACTGCCTGAGTTCACCTCTGCATGAGCCAGAACCTCCTGACGGCTCCCTGGTAAATCCAGGCAGGTGTGGGTGCCCTGCCGGTCACCTGTAGGTCTGAAATACAGACGACACAACAGTGAGGACTCAGGTGTGCAGGGAGAGGTGGGTTGGGGTGACCTGCAGGTTATGTCTACTGCTGGGAAGCAGCAATTGCTTTTCTCCGCGTAGCAGAGACTCTGTGTAGGTGTTTCGTTGAGCACATGCTTGGTGAACTGTTCCACGCTGAACACATGGACACGGAGCGGGCGTGTGGAAAACACCTGAGAAAGTGGCAGGGGAATAGAGACCGGAGCAAATCCACGCTTGTAGATTGTGCCCAAACAACCCTGCCACATGCGAGGTGCTTGCGTGCAATATTCCTTCTAAGTTTTGCATTTATCTAAAGTAAGGGATGATCCTTGTTAATAGATATGGAAATAGACTCAAAGGGGTTAAGTGACTTGCCTGAGACACCTCGGTGAGGCGGAGGCGTTGGGAGCCAGTCGTGATCAGGGGCACCTGACCTGTGAGTGTGGCCAGGCCCCAGATTCAGGGTGGAAACTAATAAATAATAATCGAAACCGTGGGGCACGTGGAGCAGCTCTCATCATGCGCCAGGCACGGCAGCAGGAGTTTTCCGTTTATTATCTCCTTGATTTCTCACCCGACTTTGAGGTCCCCATTTCACAGATACGGTGGCTGACGCGCAGAGAGCTGAAGCCATGATCCCAGATGGGCAGAGGCGTCAGTGGGGTCTGGCTGGAAGCAGGACCCTGTCTAGTTTCAAGGCGTTCGGGGAGGCCCAGGGTCAGGAGGGGCTGGGGACCCCCGGATCTGAAGCTAGCATTGGTGGGGCTGCAGGTCGGAGGCTGGCCTCGTCCTGAGCTCCCTGGGCTCCGGCTCCCTCACTGGGAAGTGTGGGGGCTGCTGACAACTCTGGTCTTCGGGGAACCGTCCTCTACAGAATCTGTGACTAAGACAGACCTGGGATGAGAATTAGCCCTGCCAGACACTTGAAAGAAACAGGAAAGTAGCGAGAGTTTATATTACTCAGATACAAACCCTGGAAGCCGTGGATCCCACTGCAAAGAATGGCTCCTGGTCGCCACTGCACCGTCTGAGTCTAGCAGAATCTCAGTGGCCAGGCTAGCTCCAGGCTGTCACCAGGCTAGCTCCAGTCCTTTGCATCATCTATCCACTCCAGTGGTTCATGGATGAGTCATTTAAAGGAACTACAGGGACGGTCTAGGAATGGATGAGCTCTTCCCAGCCCTGTTACTCTTCCAAATGAAACCCGGCAGCTAGACAGCGTCCTTCAGCTGTTGCTTCAGCTACCGCAACACGGCGCACTCTCCACCTTTCCACCGAAAATTTCAACCAGCTCCTCAAACCACTCACTAACGGAACATGACACAGGATGCCAAAAGTTCACGTGGTCTGTCCACCCGTCGATTGGCTGGTGTTTTCGGTTGACTGGTTCGTTTATTTATTGAGCTCACGCTCTGTGGAAGGCTGCTTGCTAGGAATTGGACATAAATGAGAAGGTGATTCTACCTCTATCTTCTGAGTCCATACTTTCTGTTTGCTTGGTGTTGGGGGGATGGGCCTATAAGTAGACCACTTCAACAGCAAGCCAGGGGCTTCAATAGCAAGAATTAATAGGCTCCATGGGGGCAGGAATGTACCCCCAGCCTGAAGCAATCAGGAAGTCTTGGCATGGGAGGCGTCTAAAGAACCTTCAACGATGGAGTAAGAGTGGAGCAAGTTAAAGGAAGACGGACCTCTCAGAGTTGCTCCTGTGACGGGAGAACCCTTCCATCCTGACTTAGAGACCGGGACGAAAGCCAAAGCACCTGACACATCAGCTCAGTGAATACGGCCAGCTGCAGCTCCACGTGCCTTTGCAAATGTCCGTGGAGCGGTCAGAAGGCCATAGTTAACACATTGGTTTTGTGTCAGTTGTCACCTTTTAACCATGAACTCAGGACCCACAGCCTGACAGCGGATGCTCTGCAGACAGCACTGAGGGGACCACCGAGCGCACGCTTGGATTCGTAATAACAGTTGAATGTGCTGGGGATTCTCTGACTCTCTTCTAAGTGCCTTCTTTGTATTATCTCATTTAACCCTTATCGCAAGGAAAGAAGGAGGGAGGTAGAGAGGGTGGGCTGGAGAGACGGGCATGGGAGAAGACCCATAGAACTCCAACGGGAAGAAGCCACTGAGCGCTCAGGCCGCCGAGCTTCAGTTGGGACATGCTGTGCTCCAAACCGTCAGAACTGGGATGACACACAAACTGGAGAGCGTGCTCCCTGGGCTGAGAGAACTTCAGATTCGTTCCAGGGACAGCACTTACCTGCCTCAAAGAAGCAGAGCAAAGCTCAGGCCCGGGGACATATATTAAACACCTCCTCTGGACGAAGAATTCCAGGCAGGTCAGGTTGGGTGCGTGCACAGCAAGGAAGCTCCGACGGTGTGCGCCTGCGGCCCCTTCCTTCTGCTGCTTTGTTCAGAAACCACTCTGGCAAAGCTGCCAGGCGGAGCACTCAGCTTCCCGCTTTGTTCTGTCTCTAGCCTCAGGGACAGGCCATGCTGTGCTTGACGCTACTGAATGTTTGCATTAAGCCGGCTCTGGTCATGTTTTTAGATGTGCTCAGAGGCCTGTCCACTCCCTTTAGACATCGTTGTCTTGGGCTGTCCTCCCAGCAGCCTGGCTGGCCAGAAGCGGGGAGACATGAGATAATAACTCAGATATGTCAGTGCTGAAATCTAATGTAAGATTAAGACAGAGAAAAACGCCAAGTTTGACACCAAGTATGGCTGAGTCCCCCTGTCTGCTTTCCCGTCATCACTGGCTGGCATCCCCCTGTCTGGAGACTAGGCGCTTTGGCCGCCTTTGGCGTTACAAGTAACTGTGTTGTTTCTTCTCACAGGACGTGTGCAGTGATTGCCCCCCAGGGCCCCCAGGCCTCCCTGGCCTGCCAGGTTTTAAAGGGGACAAAGGCCTCCCAGGAAAGCCCGGGAGAGACGGCACAGAGGGGAGAAAGGTGAGGAGAAAAGGGGACACTTAGTCTTTTTCATTGCCACGTAACACAGCATCTCGGGGATCCCAGCACCTGTCTGGTACACAGGGAAGGAGCCCCCTCAAGGGTGCGGATGCAGGAGGCAGGCGTCACCGGCTTCCACACCCACGAGCCGCTTTGCTGTGGGTTATGCCCTGAGTGCACAGCCGCACCCTGTACCATCATTTGCTCAGACGTGCTGGGGGTGGGCGTGGGGACAGGGAAGTCCCAGTGGGAAGTCAGTGAATGGGTGTGTCAGGGTGAGGGCTTGCTGGTGACTCTGGGCCTGGGCCCTGGACACTCATTTGTGTTTTTTTCTCCTTTGTCTCTGCTATAGGGCGATGCCGGGTCCAGAGGTCCCCCAGGTCCCCCGGGAATAGCCGGAGCGCAGGTCAGTGAGCCCTCCGTCATAAGCATCATGTGCATCATTCTGCTTACCTCACTGGGTATTCTAAGTTTGAAAAATGGTTTAAAATCAGAAAACCCACATTCGAGGCCTAACCATGGCACTGACTTGCTCAGGGTCGTTCCCATGGTGAGTCTCAGGTGGTTCATCTGTAAATACCTGAGTGGTTGAAAGTATGAAATGAGCTGCAGGATTGGAATGTGTAGTACTTACTGGTTAAAACATGTGCCCAGAGCTGTGTGGCCTTAGACAAAACCCTTGACCTCTCTGGGCCTCAACTTCACCTCTCACTAATAATAATAAAAACAAGTTCCGAAATATATTAGAATTAAGCGATATAATGCATCGAAAGGAACTGGCACTCAATAAAAATTATTACTAGGAAAGTGCTGTGCAAATGCGAGTATTACTAACCCTCATATGCACGGCCAGGCACCCGTCTGAACAGGCAGAAAGGTCCTGTGCTTTTACAGAGCCGGTGGGGGAGGCTGTGGCTGCCAAAATGAGCATCTGGGCTGTGGCTGTTTGGACTCTTGTTGGGGACAGCATTTAGCTCCAAGAAGGGACTGCATGAGTGCTGGCCTCTCAGTCTTATCCCCCTCCCCCGATACAAGTGCTCCCCTGGGGCTCCCCTGAGCTCCTTGTGGCCTTCATGCTGCTACAGGATGTGCACACCGCCCACCCCAACCTTCAGAAGTGCTGCTGTGTCCCTTCCTACGGCCTGGTTGGGACACAGTGTGTCCCAGGTCTCTGCCACACAACATTGTCCATAGGAGAGAGAGCTCACCCACTTCTGACCCTGGGGTGGTTCTTTCCTCTCTGCCCTCCTGTCTCCTTGCAGTAAACGAGGGACTGTAAGAGCAGCGAGGTCACAGGCTGATGGCCATGACTCTGCTCATGAGATGCCCCACCTGCACTGGGAACATTGCAAGCCCCCCCGTCAGCCTCATCTCTATTGCTCATTCAGTCCCGGGGTCACAGCCAGTGCAGGGCCAGGATGGAGTGAGGACCCGAGCGGAAAATATAAGGAGAAGCCCAGACCTTAGTAACCAAGATAACTAAAAGTCTAATGCAATACTTTAAAACCTTCAAATTAATGCAATATGTTCACAAGAAACAAACTATGAAAGTTTAAAATAAAGACAGGACCCAACCCTACCCTTGAACGACTCCGTCTCACCTCCCCCTAACCTCAGCCCCATCAGAGCCAGGTTTATTTACATTTTGATATTTTGCTCATCTTGGATTGTTTGGCATTAATTTTTACTTTTTAAAATCAGGCATTGGAGCATCTGTATCTTGGGTCCCGAGATTTCTGGAGCCCCTCACATTTTACACCTAGCCTCAGCCCTGGAAAATGGGGTTGGGGCTATTAGTATTACTACTCACATCCAGATCTTCTAGCCCCTGGTTGGCAGGCTAAGATGCCTAGCATTTGTTGTCCATGGATTTTGGGAAGCCTTGTAGGGTTTTGACATACCCAGGGCCCCTGCCTCAGGAATTAGATACCAGGTCTCCATGTAGATGGAACAAGCGGTATTGCCCGGGCATGTGAGGTTGAGGGTGGCATCCTCCAAGTGATTTGCTGCACATCACCCTTTCATTCAGGGGTCATCATCAGGGGTTGAGTTTTTCTCTTAGAGGACCCTGCAGGCCTATGATTTTAGCTGATCCCTCAGTGACCTCTGCTGTCGGCTTGCTGGCTTCTGGGTTTAGCCTCTGCTGAGGAAAGGCCTTTACTCAGATAAACAAAAGCCAATCCATTAAACAGAAAAGGAGTTGCCTCCACTAAATAGGGGTGCTTTTCTCTATCAGCCCAACACTGCTTGAAATGCTGGTGTCTTAGGATAATGGCTCTGCCTTTGTTCTTTTATAATTTGATTCAAGGGAGGGTCTGTTTCTTCACCTATACAGAGCAAACCAAAGAAAGCTTTCATCCAGAAAAAGAACCAAAATTCGTGCTGTCTCTGAAAGACAGGGTTCTAGCTTCTCCATTTAGGAGTCCCTGGTGACCTTGAGAAGTCCTCAGGGCTCAGGTCCACCCTACACAATGAGTCCCCAGGTGGCTGCTGTGGGCAACAAACCCAGTGTTCCCAGGGCCAAGGGCCAGGTTACTTGCTTTATAATATTATCTCCTGCGATGGTCAGCATCATCCTAGGAGGTAGAGATATTGTCCCACTTTACAGATGAGAAAACTAAGGCTTAGCAAGAATAAATGCCAGTATTGCACGAGCAGGTGACATAGCCGAGGTGAATCCCTGCTGGTCCAGTTCTAGGATCCCCACACTTAGCATCCTGTTACACTAGCAACGTGCCAACCAGCACCAGCACCAAGGACAGCTCCCAGTGGGGAGCAGGGCTCCTGCCCTCAGCTGTGGTGATGCCCCCGTTAGAGCATCCCTTTGACTACTGCTGGGAAAAGGAGCCCCCGAGGAATTAAATGTCTCACCTGAGGCCTCACAGGCTCCCGGACTTCCAGCCCAAGCCCGTCTCTACACTCTTCATCCATCCCACGCCACTCCCCAGAAAACAGATGGGAGGACTGCTTGTTTCATTTCCTCCGTGTTGAACTTCACTTATCAAACAGGATCTCTGCCCGACCTGCGGACGTGGAGATGAAGTTGTAAACTGAAAGCGCTACTGGTGGCAAAGCGCTTATGATCATTGTTGGTGTTCTCTTACAACCAGAGGCCCTGGGTGTTCACTGGTCACGTGTTATCGCCAAGAGGGTTCAGTTCGCTTGTTTGTTTGCAATTATAATTCACCGTGCAGAGTTGCAGCTGCTGTCGCTGGTGGCTGGGTCTGGGAAGGTTAATGCCATGGCCAATTACAAAGCCCCATTCTAGAGCTTTCAAACAGCAAAAAACACTGGCTGAGAGCTAAGGAGTGGGAATAGTGGCTGCTGTAATGATCACAATCCATGTAGGGGAAGAAACAGCAAGCTGGTCATCAGAGCCATGACCCTGGGAACATGTAACTCTGCAGTCAGTTGTGAAAACCTCTCCTGGGATGGAAATGCTGAATATTCCATCCCCCAGGAAAAGCATGTGGTTTCCTTTTCATCCATGTGTCTACCAGCCAGGCGATGGGAACTGTAGGAACTGGAGACACCGAATGAACATCTGGGGAGGTTCTGGATGGTTCTGGAAGGCAGAAATAATACGTCCTCTGCTGCTAGTTGAACTGCCAGGAGAGGCCCTGGATTCCATCCTGCCCAGGAGGTGCCCCAAAGCTGTGAAGTACATGCCCTCTCCAGGGGCAGACGTCCCTTTGCACCCATAGCTGCCTCGATCCTGAAAGACCCCCACCTAGCATCTTGAGCAGTTCCCTTCCAGGGCAGGAGGTGTGAAGATCAGTCACATGCAGCCATGAATTCCAGGCTTGATGTTGTGTTGCAGAAGAAAGGCCTACAGGCTGGTGCCTTGCAGAAAAGTCAGACTGGGGCTGGCAGCCACTGAGAGCGGCGGGCACAGCCTGAGCTTCGGAGTTCAGGTGCTTCCCCTGCCTAGCTTTGCCTCATACCAGCTGAGTGGACTTTGCTTAGGCAGTTTATTTGACTTCTCCAAACCTCAGGTTCCTCACCTGTAAAAGAAGAACCATACAGCCTATCTCCCAAAGAGGATGGGAGGAGTAAACGGGGAGTGTTTACAGGGCCAGCATGTGCTGCCAGCAAGGAGGACATGCTGGGTGGTGGAACTGCGAGTTGCCCTCACAAGCATTGCTCTGTTTGAGTTAATAGCAACCATACCAAGTAGCTTCAGATCTCTTATCTGTACACTCTGACAGTAACCCTGACCTCGTGGAGTAGTCCTACTCGCTAAATTAGATAACATAGACATATGCAAATATATATATATTTGCATCAGCTTAGGATATAGACAAAGAAATACATGAAATGGAGCATTATCTGGAGTGCTCTGGCAGAGTGCCTGGCAAAGTCGGGGCCCTTCGAGTCCTCTCTTCTGGAATGAAGTGAGTCAGGCTTGGGGGTGGCTGTGTTGGCTTTGGTCTCCACCTGCAGTGGAGGAGAGGATGGCTGTGGAGATCCCTTGAGCTGCTGACATTTTCATTGTTAAGAGGTGAGGACTGAAACCACTCCAAGCGCAGACTGAGGACTGGAATTTGAAAGGAAACCCATTTACTTTTAAGGCAATTGTCCTAAACGTCAGAGAAGCAGTGTGCTATTGTCTGTCACTTATTTTCATTAAGGTTATAATGTGGCCTGCAGACAGTGTGCTGGTTTGTAGAGTTAAAAGCAGTAGAAATTATTACATGCAAAAATGTTGGGTCAAATGCTATTGCCCTCTGAACCTATCTTTTATTTTTTTTCGCTCTAAACAATGGCATTTGGCAATTAGAGGCATTACCTCACCTGACCCCCCAACATACCTCAGGAAGGCAGCCTAGTCCTCATCACCAATGAGCTGCCAATCTAGTGCGCCCATCTGGATGAGAAGAGGGCTGGGCTTGATGTTCCAATGAGAGAATTGTGGGGCTGGACCTGGAAGGACCCTGGAAGATTGACCTCCTCTGACCCTTAATTTACAGGATGCACAAACTGAAAGCAAAGAGGGGGCATGATCTGCTCAAAGATGCAAAGATAAGAGATGACAGACAGGCCTGGGGCCAGAGCCAAATTGACTTACTGCCAAAGACTTACTTCACTGCATAATGCATTCTTTTAGAGGAACTGAAATGTTTTTGTTTAATAACATTTTACTGAAATACATTTGTTAACACAGTAAATGCAGAGCCAAAATAGATGACAGTTAAGAGAGATTGGAACCTGTGAATGTTTCTTTCGGGGTTAGTCTGTAAAAAAATATTTTTGGTAGGTTGCATGTTATGAGTGTTTCCATCACCCTGATAATGACAATGATGATGATGGTGATGATGATGGTGATGAGAAAGATGATCGTGAATGTGCATTATTTTTATTGTTAGTTTCAGGTGTACAGAACAATGCAATAGTTATTCTTTTCACCCTTTGCACAGAAACAACCCTCCTCCCCCATCTACTGCCCTCCGTGAATGTGTATTGAGAGCTAACAACTAACTCATCACCAGCCTGAGCACTTTGTAGGTCATTGAATCCTCACAACAACCCCATGACAAAGACACTATTACTACTATTCTCATTTTAGAAGTAAGGAAACAGAGTTGAAGCACCTTGCCAGTAACACATAGTAAATGAGAAAGCCAGGATTTAGATACAAAATAATGTAGAATAATGCTTATAAATATTTATTGAGCTCTTACTGTGTTCTCAGCTCCATGCTAAGTGTTTTCCAGGAATTACCTGATTTTCTTCTCCCAGCAGTTCATGGGGTAGGCAATCATTATTTTCTCTATGTTGTGGATTAGGAGAACTACAACTCAGAGTTTCAGTGACCCTCTCAAGGTCCCGCAACTAGTAAGGGAGGGAGCTAGGAGCATTTGTACAGAGACGGTCTTCCTCAACCCTCTGCAGTGTGGCCAGCCCAGCACCGCCTCCGCGTCTCCCCGCCACTCGGCAGCACCCACAGACATGGCGGCTTCAGCTCCTTTCCCTGTCACACCTGCAGCATCCCACGTTCCTCTTCACTGACCTCCTTTCTTCATCCTGAACCGAGTCCACCCCGCACTGGGCCAGAGCAGCCCTTCTGATATCTAGGGCTGCCCTACAGTCTGCTAATGTGCTCCGGTGCCTGCAACTCAACCCATGGCCACGGGTTAACGTACAAGCGTCCCAGCGTGTCCCCATCTCCATTTTCCACTGACCCCCACCAGCGCCCACCACAAAATCAAGCCATTCCTTCAGCAGTTCCTTAACCAGGACGTGTTTCTGCTGACACCAGGCCTAACCTGCAGCACAGACTCGATAAGAGATTGGTGAGGAATGAGTGAAGGGATGAGTGAATGAATGGATAGGTGAACAAGTGCGTACAATGTCGCTCTAGCAAAATTCCCACTAATTTGCTTTCTTCTTTCTCCCAAGGGAAGTAAAGGAGAGCATGGTGCAGACGGTGAGGCTGGACAGAAGGGCGACCAGGTAAACACTTTGTGATGAGCCTGCACGCTGAAGCAGCACCGCTGTTTCTCCTGGGTAACGCTGCACCATTTCCCACATCGTTCCTGGTCTCGTGTGTGTGTGTGTGTGTGTGTGTG